ATCTATTTTTTTAAGTTGAAGCAAAGGTCTATTTTAGCATAATAGGATAAAGTAGGGAGACATGAAAAAAGAGGGAGAGAACAGCGCCACCTGCCTGAAGTGCAGGGATGGGAGATGAGCTCCCAGAATCTACCAAAGCTAGAGAGATTTTCAACATCTGGTCCACAAAATGAAAAACTGAAGGCAAGGAGAGGGCTTTGAAATTCCACTTGTTTTTTAATAAAAAATTTTTAAATCTTGAATTTTAAGTAGGGGTGTACTCTAGGGTAAAATAATTCAGTATAAAACAAATTATGGGGTTGGCAGAGTGGCTCAAGTGGTAGACCGCCTGCCTAACAAGTGTGAAACCCTGAGTTCAAACCCCAGAACCGCAAAAAAAAATATTATGGAGTGAAAGATTTAGTTGGTATTGAAGTAATTCAACTATTCTTTACCTATGTTGCAAGATTTCAGTAAGAACTAAATAAAAAGATTGAACAAGATGAAAACTGTAATTTTAAAACGTTCACTTGGTCCCCAATGACTACAGAAGATAAAATTGAGTCCGAAAAATAAACCAAGGAAAACACCAAAAATAAAACCAAGGAAAAATTTTCTTTATGAGTTCTCAATATATCAACTATATTTGTTTGTTTGTTTATTTATTTAATTATTGTGCTGGGGATTGAACCGAGGGCTTTGCACATGATAGGCAAGCACCCTCAACCCTTTTTGTTTTTATTTTGCTATTGAGACAGGATCCCATTACTACTTTTGTCCAGCTGACCTCAAACTTGTGATCCTCCTGCCTCTGGCTCCTGAGTAGCTGGGAAAACAGGTGTGTACAAGCTGTCAACTGCATTTACTGGCACAAAACAGATATGAAGTTTAGTGGAGCGGAACAGAAAACCCAGATATAAATCCATCCAGCTACACCCACCTGACTTTTGACAAAGGTACAAAAAACATATGATGGAGAAAAGACAGCCTCTTCAACAAATGTTGCTGGGAAAACCGAATATCTACATGTAGAAAACTGAAACTAGATCCACGTTTGTCACTCTGTATAAGTATCAACTCAAAGTGGACCAAGGACCTTAAACCTAAAACCTGAAACCTTTCAAGACCTGAAACCTTGAAGCGAGTGCAGGAAAGAACAGGGAATACACTGGAAGTCATGCATAGGCAGACTTCCTAAATAGAACTCAAAAGGCTCAGCAGCTAAAAGAAAGGATGGACAAATGGGACTACATGAAACTAAAAAGCTTTTGCACAACAAAAGAAATGGTCTACTAAATTGATAAGTCTGCCCACAGAATGGGAGAAAGTCTTTGCCAGCTATGTATCCGACAAGGGACTGATAACCAGAGAGCTCAAAAAATAAACTCCCAAAAAACCAATGACCCAATGAAGAAATGGACAAATGAGGTGAACAGAGCTTTTTCAAAGGAAGAAGTCCAAATGGCTAAAAAAAAAAAAAAAAAAAAACCACACATGAAGAAATGCTCACAATAATCCCTGGCCATAAAGGAAATGCAAATCAAAACCACATTAAGATTCCACCTCACTCCTGTTAGAATGGCTACCATCAACAACACAACAACAATAAATATTGGTGAGGATGTGGGGAAAAAGGAACCCTCATACACTGCTGGTGGAAATATAAAATAATACAACCCCTATGGCAAAGAGTATGGAGATTCCTCAAAAAACTAAAAATAGAAATGCCATATGATCCAGCAATACCACCCCTAGGGCTATACAAAAGAATGTAAGTAAGGTTACAGCAAAGGCACCTGCACATCCATGTTTACTGCAGCATTATTCACAATAACTAAGCTATGGAAACAGCCAAGATGTCCTACTACTGATGAGTGGATCAAGAAAATGTGGTATTTATACACAATGGAATTTTATTCAGCCACAAAGAAGAAGGAGATTTTGTCATTTGCAGGTAAATGGATGGAACTGGAGAACATCATCTTAAGTGAAGTTAGCCAGGATCAGAAGGCCAAAAGCTGCATGTTTTCTCTTATATGTGGAATAGCGACCTAATACAAATACAGCAATATTATGAAAAACAGTTCACACTAAGAGGAGGTCACATACGAGAGGGGTAGGGTAAAAGAAGGAAGTTAAGAAGGTGAATATGGTTGATGTACTCTCTATACAAGAATGAATATAGAATTTTTAAACCTGTTGAAGTCACTATGAAAAAGGGACTAAGGTAGAAAGAACTAAAATAGAGGAGATGAACCGATTCAGGTTATATCATACACACACACACACACACACACACACACACACACACATACACACACACGGAAATGTTACAAGGAAATGTCATATGTGGCTATCTTAAACAAACAAAAATGTCATTTTTTTTCATTTACAAAACTGGAGAACAGGAGGGCACAGCAGGTCCTGCCTGAGGGATTTGGTACCAGTGGGAGAGGGGAGGAGGTGAAGAAATAGTGAAGGAGGGCGAATATGGTGCAAATACTGTATACACATGTATGTAAATGGAAAAATGGTATCTGTTGAAACTTTTCCAGGAATGGGGGGGTAGAAGGAGAATGGTGGAGAGGGTGAATTCAAGTACAATACATTTGATATATTGTAAGAACTTTTGTAAATGCCACAATGTACCCCCACCTAGCACAATAAAAAAAAAAGAATTTGGTGGGGGGTGGGACTGAAAGTGTGGTTCAAGTGGTAAAATGCCTGCCTAGCAAGTGCAAGGCCCTGTGTTCACAACCAAGTACCATAAGAAAAAAACAATTTTTTAAAGTCACAACCACTGATAAATCCTATTTTTGAGGTCCACTTTAGATTTGGCTTGACTATCATAAAACAACCACTAGGAGGAAATACTTTCAAAAGATGAAAATCGCTGTCACAGTGGAAACTTTTGACTCAGGGATTCAAGGATCTTTCGACACTGATTTTTAAATATTCTGAACAAATAGATTGCATAATAGCCAGCACTGAATTTACCAAGTCTCTCTCTTAAAAGTTTATTCAAGAAGTGTGTTGACACATGGATGAGTCTGAATTCCCAAGGCTTTAATTAAAATACTAAAGACCTGAATAATACTTCAAGGAAGAGCTTTTTACCTAAGTGATCTTGATGAGAAAAATACTCCCTAGGATAATCATGACTTTCTACAGAATTTGTGCAATTTCAGCCAGAAGTCATACTTTGTTTTTAAAAACCACAAAACAGGAGTCTTATAACTGTATGCACAGAAATGATTAACAGAATGAGCAGTAAAAATTTAGGGAGTAATAATTTTAGGAAAAATATTGCCCTTTCCCCTATAAACTATTTAAGAAAATAAAAATATATTTTTAGAAACAGAGACTCCTAGAGCTAAACTATGGCCTGTTTCAATGATTCTCAAAGTATCATCTGGGGCTGCCAGTTCCTCGCAGTACTACTACTTGCATTCCATCTTTCATTTCAGCCATGAGTAAATTTTATTGACTAAAACAGACTGCAACGCATTGGGATTCCATCAAAAGCAGGGCCAATTAAAAATAAAGAAATTAGTGCTGGCAAAGGTAGACAAAAAAGTACTTAACATAGTGTTGAAAGAGGTAAGTACATTATATAGTGTTCAAAGAGGTAGAAATTGGTACGTTTTATTGTTTTTGTTGTTTTTTACAGTACTGGGGCTTGAACTCAGGGCCTTCACCTTAAGCCACTCCACCAGCCCTATTTTTGCAAAGGGTTTTTTGAGATAAGGTCTCATGGAACTCTTTGCCCAGGCTGGCTTCAAACCACAATCCTCCCGATCTCTGCCTCCTGATTAGTTAGGATTACAGGTGTGAGCCACTGGCACCCAGCCTGGTACATGCTTTATAGAAAGCAATTTAGCAATGTGCAGCAAGAGGCCTTAAGTCATACCTCATGGTCTGGGAACTTCATTTTCTACTTTTAGGAATAGCCTTAGGAAATAATGAGAGATGCTCACAAAAAATAAAGTAGAGCCATCACTATGGTATAGATAACAGAATAATTAGCGATAGCTTCAAATGGTCAAAAGGAGATTGATAAAATAATGATGTATTCATGGGATCAAACACTACACAGCTAATCAAGTGCAAAGAGTGTTTATGGATGAGACAATATGTAAGATATGAAGCCAAGATGGTTAAGATGAAACTTAAAGCGCAACATCAACTTCCTGAAATTTATGTTGGCTGCAATCCAAAATGTTAATCTCTAGGTTATAGAATTATAAGTGATTTTCAGTTTTATAATTATATTTGTCCTACATTTTCTAAAACTTCTAAGAGAATATATTACTTTTATCACTTAATAATAAAGTAGAAAATACAACACTAGCTCTTCAATTCATTCTAGTATAAATGAGTGTTGATGAGTGACAATGAATATGGCCAAAAAGAGGTTTGGCCCTACTGCTCAAGGGGCAAAAGGATACTTATAAAGAGCCCAGAGTTGACTTAAGCTGTACTAAGGAAAGCAGTTTAGACACTTCCGTTTTAAACTGCACTCAAAGTAAAATGAACTCATTTTTGTTCATGTGAAATGATCTATGAAGCTAAATAAAATGACATTTCATTTTTTTATTATGACTACAACATTAACTGTTTCCAAAGGCTAAGCATCTTTGTCACCTATGTCAAAATGTGATTGATGAGGGGGTAGGGGTTTAGCTCAGTGGTAGAGTGCTTGCCTAGCATGCACAAGGCCTTGGGTTCCATCCCCAGCATTGCAAAAAAAATACACACACATACACACACACACACAGACTAACTAAAAATTGACTACTATTCAGGTCCCACCATATTCAACAACAAAAATAACTACCACTCTAAAGGAAATTATGAATCATGAGGGGTTCCACACACAGATGAAAGAATAAATAATTTTGGTACAGCCCAGAGTTCCACTTATTCTATTGAAACAAACAGGAACTCAAACACCAGATGATATCTACATTAGATATCATATCTGCAGACTATCACCCCATAATGAAAATGTTCCTACTTACCAGAATCAGTCCCCCATACGGCGTGAAACCTGCTCCAAGAGCAAGTATCTCAAGCAAAAAGGACCAAGAAAGTATGACTCCTTTAACGGCTGTTATTACTCTACCCAGAGTGTTGTTTTCCACATGGGTGATCAGAGGGACTGTGAAGAGAGGATTTCAGAAGTGAACTCTCCAGCAGCCCTCTCTTGTTTACAACCTGGCCTCTGGGAGAAAACACTCAAACTTTAAACGATATAGTCTTACCTAAGATGGTTGTGCTTCAGACATTCCAGTCAACTTTGATATCACATTACAAATACATACTAGCTGACTTCAAAAAGAAGTAGCGAGTAGAAAAGGCTGAATCATTTCTTTCCCTCAAAGTTCTCATTTCAAAATGTTTTAGGCAATGTAAAGTACCATTAAGTAATCTCACTTCCTGTAAGGCCCACATGTCTATGAAAGTGTCCTGTAATAACCTCGACAGGGCAGCAGCACCAAGTTCACGATACTAAAAATGACAGAAGGAATATAGGTGCTACACATGCTACTGCACTACAATATTCAATAGTATATTTACTCAAAAAAATAACGTTTTTACTCCAAAGCAAAGGGAAACTGCTCCAGGGCTGATGATTAGCTCTGTTGTGCCAGAGCTTCTGAAGCTAAACTCACAAATTTGACCCCTGGAGGAATGGGTTCTATAAGGGGAACACAGTTCCCAGGTTGCCAAATACCATGCCAAGGTCACAGCTGTTGCCCCAGGGTATTATCAAAGCCCCTCTCTTGAGAAAAACACCTTCATGATGACCCTTGTTATCGTAACTCTGTTCCCAGAGAGAACAAGGCACAAATGTGTGCCTGCATTAGCAGAAGTCAGCCTTCAGTACTGGAAAACCACTTTCAAGTACAGACTCCTCCTGGAATTCACACTCAGTATATAACGGGCGAGAGAACAAAAGCACCAGCTATATCCAATAAACACAAACAAACATGACTCTTTATTTTATTCCTGTGCTACAACAGTATCAAACTGCTATAATTTAAAATAGTTTATGTACAACTGCAGATTTACAATCCAACTAACACCTACATTAATACCATAACTGTTGACTTCAAACTGAAGTCAGCTCCTCATTTGAAAGAACTCTTAAAGCAGGCGTGGTGATCCACACCTGTAATCTCAGTACTTGGGAGGCAGAGGCAGGAGGATCATATGTCCAAAGCCAGCCTGGGCTACACAGACATTTCAAGACCAGCCTGAGGTACAGAGTAAGACCCAGTCTCAAACCAAACAAACAAACAAAAACACATTATTTTAAATACAGAATAAATCAGATGCACAGTAAGAAAATATCTACATTTATAGCTTTTTGATGTGTGTGTGTGTGTGTATTTGAGGGGGCAGTACTGGGATTTTTGAACTCAGAGTCTCATACCTGCTAGACAAACACTCCACCACTTGTGCCACTCCCCCAGCCCTTTTTGCTTTAGTTCCTTTTCAGATAGTGTCTCATGCTTTTTTCCCAAGTCAGCCTGAGACTGCAATCTTCCTACCTATGCCTCCTATGGAGCTGGGATTACAATGTGCACCACCATGCCTGGCTTATTTGTTGAGATGGGGGTCTCCTTAACTTTTTGCCTAGGTCAACCTCAAACTGCAATCCCCCCCAATCAGTGCCTCCCAAGTACCTGGGATTACAAGCATGAGCCACCATGTTGATTTATATTTCAAAGACTATAATCCTATTTAAGAAGTTGTGTTCACCTTTTAATTAACTTTATAAATCAGAGAAAAAGATACTGCCAAGTTAACTTATCAATCAAACAAAACTTCTATCCTCACAGAGAATATTTTATGCTTTATATATATATGTGTGTGTGTGTATGTGTGTGTGTATATATATATATATATATACACACATACACATATGACTTCACATCTATGATTATCAGGAAAATATGGGAGCACACCCTTTGAATTGCATGTCAAATGAAGTATTTGGTTCCCAATCAATGATATAGCAAATCTGACCGTTTCTAACCTAATCCAGATCCTATAAGCTCCAGCTCCTGAACCAGCTGCGTCTCTCGTACACAGTACTAATTGGTTCACTAATAAAGATTTTATTTAAAATGACCCATCAGCAAAAAAGACCACAGATTAGCAGGTGCTGTGCTTCACTGAAGATCAAGGAAGTGCTCATTAAGTCTCCCACATAACACCATGCCTCAGCTGAGAGGCAATCTTATGGCAGTTAGGAGCCAACATGCTATAACCAGAGAGCCTATCTTCAATTCCTGGCTGTTCGTTTACTACAGATGGGTGACCTAGGGTAAGTTAACCCCTTAACATCAATCGCCGCAACTAAAAAGTGGAGGGAATACTACTACTGCCCGCTGAGTCTGTTGCAAGGCTTAAGAGTTGAACTCACAGCTGTAGCCATTGTGAACTTACGGTTTCTCTAAAAGCAACAACCTTAATCTCGCACCTCCTCGTCCAGCACACATTTTTCCCTCTGCCAAGAACATTCACTTCTCCCTTTTCCTGGCTGAAGTCGTAGTTACAATGAAACCTGCAGAAAGCATCTCTTCACCCCCTATTTATGTCAGGTGTGTGTGTGGTGCTTGCCCTCCAAGCACCCTGTAGCGCTGCACTTAAACTTATCTAAGGTTTGTGTTGATCACCTCTGTAATACTCAGACTTAGCACAGTACAGCTTTAGAATAGGTGCTTAATAACCATTCCTTGAATAAGCATGGAATGAAATCACAAGTTATGTGATGGAGAAAGGAAAGCAAGGAAGGATTTCTACGCTAAATCTTTCACACATCTGAGATAAATAGGAGTGCTTCCTCTCATACAGTGAGACCTTCCATTAACATCAGAAAAGCGATTATCTGTGCAAGTATACACCTGATGCACATTTTGGGTAAAAGAAAATCATGGCTTCACAAACCGAGTGAACAACAGTCTGTTTAATGTGTCTACACTTATTTATTTCATGTCTCATATTCCAAAGAGTATTACAACAAAATTATATGGCTAGTATATCTCCCTGAATATCAGCAGGGCTAAATGAAACCCGTAAGTGCTAGTGGCATAAGTGAAGAGAAGAAAAAGAAGGTGAAACCATGTGAAGATCATACAAGAAAGAAATAGAAGTATTTCATCTTGTGGAGAGCACAGGAGCATTAAGCAGCTTGTCTAGAAGGTGCCACTGGGTGGCGCCAGTGCCTCTAGCTACCCACCACCCAACTGAAACCAGGATTACCATCCGGCTGTCTTGCAGAGCTTACATTGAGAGCTCAGGAGTCTATCTCCAATATACAGTTGGGCAGGAGCAATTCACTGGAGTTCAAGTTCTCCAAGGCTGCCACCTAGTTGGGGATATTGTGTTTGTCAGAGCTCCTGGAAAGTGGGCTATCGATATTTTTGCCTAATCAAAAGATTTCAGAGTCAGCTCACTATTCTGAATGCAGAGATTCTCAGTGAAGTGAGACAGGGAGAAGGGGATCCTAATAACCTGGAAACTGTTTTCAAACTTTAGGTTGAACCATATAAAACTATCAGCAGTCAAAAATCGGTTATATACATAACCAGCAATTTCAAATGGCTCAACTTAACATACACATATATTAAGCCATTGCTACTGATACGAGTATGTCATATTTGTCTGGCTTGTGAGGGGGAGATGACAATACATAGTTGGTCTTTTACTTAAATTAATAAAGAATTAACTGAGAAAAGACATAGATAAAACAAAATACACGAGGATATAGAATAAACTATATTAAAAACAGCAGCCTTGGGAAGAGGCTAAAACCAAAAAAAAAAGTAAATGCTATATTTAAGTGTAAAAAAGTAAATTTTAAAATGGCATGAAAATATGTTCTGCAGTCTATCTTTTAGGGAAGTCTGTGTGTGTGTGTGTATGTGTGTGTATGTGTGTGTGTGTGTGTGTGTGTGTGTGTAATGTACTGATATTTTCCACAGGAAAACATATGTATAGCAAAAGTGTCAACTACTTCTGAGTAGAAGGATTACCCATATTTTGGTGTTATTTTTATCATTTTACCTATATATGTTTTCTAGAATAAACGTGTATAATATATTTGGATCCTAAAACAGAAAGAAACAAAACTTTGGTAGAACAACTAGGGATATCCAAGTGACTTCTGTAGATTAGTTAATAGTATTACACCAGTATTATGCTATATAAACTGTTAACATTAGGGGAAGATAGTTAAAAATTACACATGGGGCCTTTGAACTATCTTTAGTAGATTTTCTATATACCTAAAATTATTCCAAAATTAAATGTTTATTTAAAAACAATAGGCCAGGTATGAATATCACATTTTATACAAAATAAATACAAGCCAATTGTTTTCAATCTAGAAGAAAGAATCCATTTGGCTAAGCCATCCTTACATACAAACAAGAATGTGGTAAAAATAAATTATTTGGCAGTAAGCCATTACACCTTCCAGCAGTTATTACTGTATCATCTGGCCTCTCCTAAATATGGAAGTGATGTCACCCTGCTGAGCACACTGACTCAAGCAGGAAAAAACGGTTAAGTCTCTGCTTATTTGGTTTTGTAAAAATCATAGCTAAAGACCATCTACCATAACAATATGCAGAATTGAAGAGGGAAGGAATTAAAAGTTAAGAATAGCCAGTAACAATCCTTTTCCTTCATAACACATTTTAAAATCTAGTTTCCAAGTAGTACAAGTGCACATGAATGCATTTGTTAAGGAAACATTCAATGAGTATATGCTATGCTCTGCCCTCACAAAACTGTTCAATGGACAGTATTTTAAGTGGATAGCAACCTAACACAGAGAGTTGGATATATGGGTTGAATAGGAAAGGAAGGTCACCCATGAGGCAATCCTCAACCCTATAATAATAGCCCAACCAGATGATTATAGACTTTTTAAAGTTAATAACAAAGCCAGGTGCAGTGGTTCATTCCAACAATCCCATCTGCTCTGGAGGTAGATTGGGAGGATCTCAGTTTGAGGCCATCTAGGCAAAATGTTAGCAAGACCCATCTCAACCAATAAAGCTGGGCACAGTTGCTCACACCTGTAAGTCTAGCCATAAGGGAGATGTAAGTAGGAGGATCCTGGTCGAAAGCTGGCCAAGGCAAAAAAGGGAGACCCTACCAAAAAAGTAACTAAAGCAAAATGGGACGGTGCCTACCACATTATTGCCATATTTGTCAGGCATCTGCTGCAGGGAGAGTAGTCAGGCTACACAGCTCCAGCAGCTGTGTGATTTCTTTTTACTTTCAGGCAGGTCACCTGGACACATAAGAATCAGGAAATGGGTTAATTAAAAGTTGAATTCGACCTTCCG